AAAGCAAGCTCCCCATACCCCCTAGGGTTTTGCAGCTCACATCATCTCTCCTCCTTCCTCTTGCACAGGATAAGGATGTTTACAAAGTGAGGACTCTGGCTCCCTGCTGTGTTACTTAGTTAAAATTCTAAACTTCTCAAGTTGACATAATGTATCAGTCATAACAGGTAGCATTCAGAGAAACAAAGGAGAATCAATGGAGTCAAACAATACTAGTAGGTCAAGCAACACAGTGTGAGGAGAGTAGTTTGAGTGGTGGCTCAGAGCCAAAACAAAATGGAGTGCACTGAAGATCTACAGGGAGGTACCAAGGGGTTTTCTGAATTCACTTGCATTAGTTTGCTATTTAGAGAAAATCCTAGACCAGACCTACTGAGGAACAGGAAAGGCCTCAGTGAAAGATGCCTGGCTGCAGGGCTCTGGATATGAGCAGATCAACGGTAAGAGTTGTATCTGGGCAGCTGCATCCCAAACCAATGCAGAAGTCCAGGCTTTCATTTATAGGGCGTCCATGGGTGGACCTGAACTATTCATGCAAATACCATGCCCCAGTTGCAGAGGCAGTCGTGCCTGAGCCTTTAATGCAAGGCCAAATCACACCCAAATGGTAAACCTGTTTCAGTCCAAGTCAAATTCTATGTAGAGTGGCACCATAGAGCTTGTTTGACTCACCTCCACCTCTCAGCCCCCACTATATCCTACCAGATGAAAATGCAACTAACTACTTGACCTTACTCTTTAAGAGTTTCACACATGAAATCTGTACATAGCAATCTCTCATACCATATATTGTAGGCGCACACATATACAAGGCCAATACAATGACTTCTGGTACTAGGGCCATGATTTCTTCTCCACTTGCGCCTGACCAGAAGCACAAACTATGTCAGCTAGAGGCAAAAATTCAGCCCTTTGATGCTACAAGGCCACCATGTTTGGTTGTCATAGCAACCTTTCTATGAAGTTTAAATGTCCTTGGATTTCATCTGACCCTGGAAGAAGCCCCCAACCCATAGTTCAGCATTAATCTTCAAAGGACCCCTGCCATGAAGAAAGGACATAGCTAACCTCAGGGAGACTCTAAGATGAAGAGGAAGGCAGTTTACCACTGAGGGAGTGTAGAGACCCAGTCCTGGCCCAAGATCATCCCCCATTTGAGGGGCAAGGAAATGTTCCCTACTGGTCAATAATCCCTGATGCTAAGATCTCATAAAGTCTGAGAGTATAAATACATCACACCTTTGACCTCAGGTTTGTCAGACTTTGACTTTTAAAATGTACTGTATAAATACTGAAATTTAAAAAAAATCTTATTCACATTTAATAAGTTCTGTCCAAAGTATAGCAAGTGCATTTTTCCAGTCATATAACTGATGTCTAACTAAGGCTAAAAACAGAACTAAAACAATGATCCTGACAGTCCAGTCCCTACATATTTGCAGTTTAATATGTATTCCACTAAAACCATCACCCACATTTTCCTTAATCCATTTTCAAAAGCAAGGATATAGTTGCCAAATCCTCAGAATGTGAGCCAGTGCTGTGTTAAAACACCCCTGAAAAGCCCTCATCAAGTGACCCCACACCAGGTCCCCACCCCTGCCTCCAGCTCTAGGGACTCAAGTGACACTTGTAAGGTAACACCTATCTAAGGGATGCTAGGCTTAGTGGAAATGACTCATAGACAGAGTTCCCCCTATGCATTGAAAGAGGACAATTGTGTAAGGTGTTTTTGACAGGCTGGGAGGAGGAGTCAGATGTAATGCAGTGAGGAGTACAATTATCACTACTTCTGCTAGAATCTCCAGATGACAAATCCCTTTTAGGGGTCCATGGCCTCAGATATTGCCAAAGTTAAAGGTGGATGGGTCTCATTGCTTATGGCAAGTAGTTTAAAAGGTCTCTATGCTTCAGCTTCCTATTAAATCAAATCATCACTCACATCTAACACTCCTCTGAGTACCAGGTGCAAGACCTAGGATCAGAAGGTCCGTATCTGTGAAAGGATAGGGTTGTAGCAGGTACTTTATAAGGTTCTTTCGATCTCTGACATCCAGAGCTTCTAAGCAGGAATCACAGGAACCTCCTACGTGAAGTCTCTATAGGAAACCACCTATACATATTAAACCAAAGGAAAAGTGACCTAGAGAACTAAAGCATAAGGTCCTGAAGGAGGAAGGCTTGATCTCCAGCACCATACTACACACTAGAGGCAAATTCCTAGTATAAACAATGTAATAGCTAATCAAACTGGCATGTTGTGTTCAGTCACCTCTTCATTCTTTCAGTAAGCACTTAATGGAAACTTTCTGTGCCTGGTATTGAACCACACCATGGAAACTCACAAACAGTAAGACAGGGTCACTGCCCAAAGGGTCTTAAAGCCTATAGGAAAGACTGATAACCAAAACAGGAAAAAAAGAATTTATACCATGCTGAAATAAATATAATATTGAGGAAATGTGTAGCTTGAAAAGTGGCTGAGAGTGAGCAGTTCTGCAAAGTGGGTGAGAAACTGAATTTCCTAAGATACAAGTTACTACACAGGACCCTTGTTTCAATCTAGCCTCTAATTCAAAGTACATCATGTCTCTCGTATTTTCAGTTTCTAGATTTTTAAGATGAAATTGCTGAAGTACATGTTCAAAAATTTCTAGCCAACTGATAAACTTCTGTATATCAAAAAAATCAATGCAATGACTCCAACTCCCAACATGAACCCAAAGATCCAAATATATTTGTCTCTCCTGGTCTCAAAATTAATATGGCCTTAGGGACTAGATAAGTTCAGCCCTTAATGTTTGGCAATGATCAAATATTCAGGATCAGTAACAACTGTAATATTTTAGGGGACAGTCATATAAGGGGAATAAATGCAGCTCCCAGTATGGTAGATCACAGATATGCTGAATTTGTGCTCTCCAAAAATCGAAGAAAAAATTTTAGGGAACCACAAAGGTTAAGAGTAGGAAAAATGTATTGAGAGACACAACTCCCAAGAGATAGGAGGGGACCTGAAAGTGGGTTGCCACAGAGCCCACTTCATAGGGGATGTTTTATAGCGCAATCTCACCAGGTAGGTACAAAGTTACAAAGTGAATCAAAACTATGATCAACCATTAAGATTATAAGTATAGTGACTTAGGTAATATTAATCTAGTGGGGAAGTAGGTCATGTAGCAAGTGTACATGGAAAGAACAAAGACCTTTTAAGGAAGAGATGGACTAGGAGGTCTTGGTCAACCACCTGGGTGACTGATGTCTATCTAAACTTTATTGGGCCAGGTGATACCAATTATAGTATAATCTTTAATTTATTGCCACGTCATTGGGGAGGCATGTGGGCCTCATTTTTATCTTCAAGCCTGGCCTTCAACAGATGCACCTCCTGCCAGAGTTATAATGTGTTCACATTTTCTGCACTGACTCCCTCAAGGGTCTAGTCCTCTTTGAGTGGCTACAATATTTCTACCTCACTTAGTTGTCTCTAATTGCAGGACGTTCTCAAGTACCTGTAAACACAGAAATGTTCTACATGAAATGGATTTGTGCCTTCTTGCCAGAATTGTAAGATCAATAATACAGTTCTACATCCATAATCACATAAGGATCCAAGACACTAAGTGATAGAAACTAATTACTGCCAGAAAATATGTACCAATATTATTTAGTTGACTCAACAACCCCATGATGCAAACTTATACATTGTCCTAGAAGGTGGTGACAATGGAAATAACAAAGACAAAACATTTTGCAACTGATTCAAAACAAAGAGGTCTGAAACAAGCCAGTCTGCTCACAGAGGAACCTCACAGAAGTTTTACCAGTAACTACACAACCTACAGTATTTGTTTTTAAGACAAAATAAGCCTTGAATTAGAAATCAGAAGACTGAGGATTCAGTCAAGGACCTCTATAAAAAATACAGCTGATTCTAAGATATGTCCTAGAGAAAACCCAACTTTGTTTGTGAGGGTTCCAAAAGCCTGGATACATTAGATATGGGTAGACTACAATCTGGTTTGACTTCTCAATTTGAATACCAGATTACCAATGTTACTATCCAATGATCTGTTTTTCAAACCCTAAGAAAATACACTCAACAGTGCTTCCATGATGTAACTGAGCGTGGGACTTCCAACGCTCAGGTATTCAGGGTCCTGAAGAAGATTCAAATGAAAGAATAATGATTGACAGGAGTAACATTATTGTTCATTTATTGTGTGCATCTTACTTAACGTACACAACAGCTCTCTATCATAGTTGCTACCTTTTCCTTCATTTTGAAATTAGGACTCTGACATGGAGATTTCAAAGTCAGAAAACTAGTAAAAAGGTGAGGCCCATATCCAGACCCAGGCACTTTGTGTGCGTGTGTGTGTGTGTGTGTGTGTGTGTGTGTGTGTCTGTCTGTCTGTCTGACAGAGAGAGAGAGAGAGAGAGAGAGAGAGAGAGAGAGAGAGAGAGTTGTTGATTGGTTTTTGTTTGTTTTGTGCTGGGAGTCAAACCCAGAGCCTCATACATGCTAAGCGAAGTGTTCTACCACTAAGAGGCTCACCATCCCTGAACAATTTGACTCAGCCTTTCTCCTAAACGTTGAGAAAAATAGTCTTAAGTCACTACTGCCAGTCCTCTCTCCAAAATCATATCTGCAGATCAGATGTTCAAAAACTTCCTTAGATGGAATCATCAGGTGTTGACCTGGGATTTTATGCAGGATTTAATGAAAAGCGACCATAAGAAGCCAATACTATACATGTTATCACACTTGGTGTACATGTCATGGAGACTTGGTGTTCCATATCACTCAATGTCTTTTCTCGAAAGTTATTCTAATCGGTATTTCTTGCGGGGCGAGGGGAGATCTCTCTTGAGGAAGATCAAGAACTCTGCAACTTATTCTGATTTTTTGTTCTCATTGCATGTGAACAATGCCTGATTTAATCATGAGAAAAACATGATAGTTTCATCAGTCAAAACTAAGGAATATTCTAAAATACCTGAGTAGCTCTCCTCAAAGTGGCCAAGATCCTCACAAACAAGTCTGGGAGATTGTCACAGTCAGGAATCTATGGAGAAATGATGACTAAGATGATGTCCTGGATGGGATACTGGGTCTGAAAAGGAATACCATGAAAAACAAACAAGTGAAATTCAAATAAAATGTGACCATTACTTAATTAATTAATCAAATTACTTAATTAATCAAATTAAATGTCACCACTGAAACTGAATGGCTGTGACAAATGTACAATAAGACATTAGTGGGTCGAAGCATAAAGGAACATTACACTCTCCTTGTAACTAACTATTCTGTAATTCTATAACTATTATAAAATAATTTTTTAAAATGTCTTGGTTAAATGAGAAAGAAGTTCTATGTTTCTATACAGGAAAATACAAAAGTACCATTTTTCCCAAATTAATTTATAAAGTAAATACAATTCTAATCAAAATTAAATGACAAAATTCTTTGAGTTTATTGATTGAAAAAATAAGATAATCAAGTAAAAAAATATATCTTGAAAATTACTGAAAATCTTTCTGTGACTACAAATATTAAAGTATTTTACAAAGCTATAAAAAATTAGAAATGTAAACACAGGAAAAGACATAGATTATGGAACAAAAGAGCCAAAAAAAAGCCAAGACTACCTAGTTAACTGATAAATAATAAAGCCAAAAATATAGGGATCTTATTATAAAAATATCATATTAATTTAATTTGAATTTAAAAGTAAAACTAAAAAATTAAACATTGGAGAAACATAGCTGGATGTCAAGGTGAGCTATTTTATGTAAGAATATAGAAAATTCCTATTTACACATCTACAGATAGACATACAGATTACACAGAAAAATTGGGAAAACACATTTACAACACATGATCAGCAAGAGAATAATATCTTTAACACATACATTAAAGAAGTTAATAGGAAAAAAGATGGAACAATTCATCAGAAACAATATATGGAATTTTCTGTCATAAATGGAACTCAACAGATAAATACAGAAATACCTATAAAGATGTCAAAAGGTTCATCACTAGTAATCAAAGAAGTAAAATTAAAGCAAAAATTTGGAGTGTCAGGTTGGCAAACAACCAAAGGAATGATAATATTCAGTGTTGACCAAGGCATGTGGAAAGATCACTCTCATAGGATGCCTGTGGGAGTCTAAACTGGGACACTCTTTGAGAACACACTGGTAACAATAACAGCAATGATGATGATAATAGCCAGGAGATCTGAGCTCACTGTGGGTCAGGCTACAAGCTATGCACTTACCATATATTAAGCTACCTGCATCTCATAGCAACACTATAAGAAGGAGTTACTGCATCTATATTCACCAGAGAAGAAATCATTGTGCTAAGAAATTTTCCAAAACTGTTGTTGGCCAATAATCAAGTTGTATTTAATCCTAAGAGATCCACAGCCTTTGTCTTTTATGCATACAGAAGACATGAGAGATGCATTGTGAACCTGGGAATCCCATTTCTAGGAAATTACCATAAAAACAAAAAGAGATGTATAAAGGTATTTATTGCAACAATTTATAGAAGTACAAAATTATAAATTATAAAAACTATTAGCAGGAAACTGATTAAATAGATAATATCCATAATTATCTATTAATGGAATATTCAATCACTAAAAGCAACTGTGGAAAATAATGACATATTAAGTAAAAAAGGTAGGCTCTAAAATAATAAAAAAGGAATTATTGCTCTACAATAATATCAGTGTCAACCAGGAATACATATTACTTATCTGTTATTGTTGACGCTTTCTATGTACTGCAAACAGTGCATGGGGAGAGCGTTCCTAGAGATTAAATCCAGGGCTTGATGTAGGCTAAGCAAGGGCTCTACCACTGAACTATATTCTCAGCCTTTATTTTTAATTTTGCAACAGGATCCTCTAAAGTTACCCAAAGCTGAAATCAAACTTACAATCTTTCTGGCCATTTACTACCATGCCTAGTATACTGCATTGCTTTTAGAATCAAAAGGTTTTGTTCACTGCTGAAAGAAAAAAAAAGTAAAACTTATCATATGGACATTTTAAAACTTTTTCCTGCGTTATCTTACTCTATTTTTACTTTTGACAAAATCTATGCATATGGGAAGTATAAAATATGATGCTTTGGTACATGTATACTTTGTAGAATGTTTAAAACAAGGTAATTTATATGTTAAAAAAAAACAGCCTTTTGATTCTCATGTTTGATCTATCAGCCTTTCCTTAGCTCTGATTTCTGAATATGCTTTGTAACATACATATTCTTTGCTAATCAACTAACTAAATGAAATATAACTCAAAGATTCTTGATTTGGCCATTTGAGGGAACTGGAGGTGAGAGCTCATCATAAATTTAAATTACTTAAGAGTTAATTGATGAATTCCTTCCAATATATTTGTGCTTGTCAGCCTTTGAGTACAATAGACAAACAGCGATCCTGGACCATGAGAATGCTCCCTTGGCCCAGCCCAGGATGAAGGCTAACAGGCTGGTCACTGGGGAAGGGGCTAGAATATGTCTGCAGCAGTGAGTGATGGGAAGGGAACCCCCTCAAAGCACATGAAAGTTGGGCATCAGTACTATATTGTTTGATCTTAAGAGCATCTTGCGCTCCTTGACAGGTGAGACCACCTACAACCTAGCTGAAAAGTAATCTGTTATCACAATAGACAATAATCACAACATACAGGTCTTAGTTTTCTCATCCACATGGGGCAGTGTTACTCAACTTTTGCAGTATACTGAGCCTTTACTCCTGTTGCATAGTTAGTCTCTATGATAGTGCAGCACTTATAGTCTAACAAATGCATTCATGCCCATTATCCAACTTCATGCCAGGAACAGCATCAAAGTCTGGAGTAACAGCGCCTTCTGACACGTCCAGAGCAGTGTCTGTTGGTGCCCACTGAGTAACAGTAAACATGGCATCAAATGGACATGAATGACAAAGATATCACAGATTTCTACCTGTAAAACAGAGGCATTAACACTTTCTCATACTGTTGAGATAACACCAGGTCCTCATGATAAAGTAACTGACCCATGAAAAGAACCAAATTCTTTGAAGAATCAACACATTTAAATGTGGATTTCGGGAACCCTCAGGTAACCCAACCTCCTGAACTCACAAGTTCCAGATGGCTCAAAGTTCCCAAGAGCCAAGGGCTTGATGTGGCAGGAACTTGTGCAGGGTCAGATGGGGCTATACCTTATTATATCATAGCCCCCTTCATCCACTTATTCTTACAAGTAAGCAGTTAAGAAATTCTTTTTTCTTGTCAGAAAGAACAAGAAACGCAGCACCTGAAGGGGCTGGGTTGCCAAACTGCCCTGCTGAGTTCCAGAGGTAACATCAGGTCTGTCCTGGGAGGGAGCAGTTTCTGCAGAATATGTGCTGACCTAGCCTTTCCCTTGTGATGCAAGCAGGAAGTCACTAGTGCCTCTGCAAACCTTGCCAGAGGCCTCAACAATTGAGGCCATCCACCCTGAAGGATAGGTCAAAAGAACACCTGCTCATCCCTCAGGCCTAGGTATAATGGGGACCAGAGAATGAGACTTCCCTGAGCATAAAGCAAACATATGCTGACTGAAGGCTCTGCTTTCCACAACTGTGCAAAGTAATACCCCACTATGGCATGAGGAACTTGGGTCTCACTTCTCTCTGCCTTCTGAAGACAACTGCAGTATGGCAAAAGAGCCCTGGAGCCACGTATACACTATGTGTTCCAGTACCTCAGAGTGCTTATTTACTCAGCTGGAGAATGGGAGTGACCACAGTACCAAATTCGTAAGTTATTTTAAGAATTACAGGAAATAACTCTGAGACATCTGGTCAGAGCTAAGGTATTCATGACATGGTCAGACAGGCCCATGGAACCAAGCTCAAGCATCCTTATCAAGATCCACCTTCTGTCCTTCCCAAGAACTCTACCAGCATCTGCCAGTACCAATTCATCCTGATCGTGCTGTCTCAGAAGGACTGTGCTGACCTGAAAGCCCTTTGGCTCTTCCTTAGAATGGCAGTATTTGGAGAAAAAACTTACCTTGTAAAGTTGAGATATAATCATACTTCTTTCCTAAATCTAACTTTTGATAGTTACCTACACTTTTGAAAATAAAAGTCAAAATTCCTTCAAAGGTGACTTTTAGGTGCCCCTGCAATACCACCACTTGTCTCATTCTTCCCTGCCATCCTTTTAAACCCTTCCAGTAGTTCATACATATGCCCAGTGCCACCCCACATCTCTATATATGCTCTCTACTTTTTTCATTCCTCCCTGGCCTATTTATCCCTCTTTCATATTTCAAAGGATTCTGACCCAAGTATTCTTCTCCACTGAAAAGGAAGAATCCCTTGGTGTCCCTCCTCACTTTTCTAGCATCCTCAGGGTGTGTCCATGAGTATCCACCTCTTGCAATCTTCAGTTACATTTACATTTCTCCATACTACAAGGTGAGCTCCTCAGGTTAGGGCCTATGTCTTGTTCATCTTTGTATCTCCAATTACTGTCACAATGAATAAAAGGAAAGTTCTTTCTTACTCCAGTACAATTTTTTGAATCAAAAGGACATTTCTTTCCAGTTTACCTCTAGCATTATACCATTTCAAACTAGTTGATCACTCTCTTCCAGCCTCAAATCCAAGGCTTTTTCTCCTTTAATCTATTTCCTGAACATCCTGACAACTCAATTCCTCATCTATCAGCTTCTCCTTCATCACAAATGAATATTTATATATCTACATGTGCATTCAACTACATTTACATTGATCTTATACATGAGAGAACACTGAAAATGCAATGGTAGTTGGCCAGTACGCCCTATAAAGTTTAAGAATGTGTTCTGTAGCTACAGAACAAATACTACAAATTGATCTATCTGAGATTGAAACCATGGTTTCATTTCCATTTTGTTAAGATAAACCAAATGCATACCCTAAAGATGAGTTGCATCACAATATGGGGATAGCAAAGGTAATGGGAAGAACAATTCTACAGCCCCAGTAGCCACCAGTCATTCCTGGAATAATATTGACATTTGTTAAATGCTTTCTATATGATGAGAAGAGATGAGAAGAATATTAAAATACTAA